AGATGCATCTGCCCATGACAGATTCGGTAACAGTGATGACTGCACAGTCCTTGTGGAGATGAAGTCCCACCTTCAACATTGAGAATGCCCTCGATGTGGAAGTATCAATGTGCTAAATGGGACAGACTTTGCACAGATCTAGCAACTCAAGACTGGGCATCCATGAGGTGCTGTGGGGAACCAACAGCAGCAGAATTGTAATCCGCACAGTCTGCAACCTCATGGCCTGGCATATCCCCCATTGCCATCAAGACAGGGGATCAATCCTGGTTCAATGGAGAATGCAGGAGGGCATCCCAGGAGCAGCATCAGGCATACCTGAAGATGAGGTATCAACCTGGTGAAGCCACCAAACAGGACAACTAGTCTGCCATACAGCATGAAGGTGGGCAATTACACAACTCACTGGAGGAGGAGGCTTCACAAATATCCCCATCCTCAATGATAGAAGAGCCCAGCACATGTTCAAAAGATAAGGCATTTGCAGCAATCTTCAGCCAGAAGTGCCGAGTAGATGATCCATCTCGGCTTCCTCCAGTGGTCCCCAGCAATACAGATACCAGTCTTCATCCAATTCCACGTGATGTCAAGAAATGGTTGGAGACACTGGATACTACAAAAGCTATTGGCCCTGACAGAATTCCGACAACAGTACTGAAGACTTGTGCTCCAGAACTTTGCCACTCCCCTGTACTTCTTCCAGTACAGTTATAACGCTGGTATCCACCCAACAATGTGGAAAATTGCCCAGGAATGTCCTGTACACATGAAGCAGGACAAATCCAAACCAGCTAATTACCGCCTCATCAATCTACTCTTGATCATCAGAAAAGTGATGGAAGGTGTCATCAACAATGCCACCAAACAACACCTTTTCAGCGATAACCTGCTCAGTGGTGCCCAGTTTGGATTCTGCCAGGGGCCCTCAGCTCCTAACCTCATTACAGCTTTGATTCAAACATGGACAAAAGTGTTGAATTCCAGAGGTGAAGTGAGAGTGACAGTCTTTGACGTTAGGACTGCATTCGACTAAGTAGGGCATCAAGAAGCTTTAGCAAAACTTGAATCAATTGGTATCAGAGGCAAACAAATACTTGGCATATCGGAAGCTGGTTGTGTTTGTTGGCATTCAGTCATCTCAACTTCAGGATATCTCTACAGGAATTCCTCAGGGTAATATTCTAGGCCCAACCATCTTCAGCTACTTCATCAATGACCTTCCCTCCATCATAAGGCCAGAAGTGGGGATTTTCACCAATGGTTGCACGATGTTCAGCACCATTCACTACTCCTCAGATACTGAAGCAGTCCATGGTCAAATACAATAAGATCTGGACAATATCCAGGGTTGGGCTGACAAGGGGTAAGTAACATTCACACCACACAAATGCCAGACAATGACCATTTCCAATAACAGACAATCTATCCACCATCCTTTAAAATTAGATGCTGCTACTATCACTGAATCCCCCATTATCAACATCCTTGGGGAGTTACAATTGACCAGAAACTCAGCGGGACTCACCACATAAACACAATGTCCACAAGAACAAGTCAAATTGTCTGGATAGATACATCTCCAACAACACTCAAAAAACTTAACACCATCCGGGACAAAGCAGCGTGTTTGATTGGCACCATATCAACAAACATCCACTCCCTCCACCACCGATGCGCAGTAATAGCAGTGTGTATTGCCTACAAAATTCAATGACAAGGGCAGCAGATGCATGGGAATGCCACCACCTGCAACTTCCCTTCCAAGCCATTCACCATCCTGACTTAGAAATATATTGCCAAACAAATGCTGTCCCAACCTGCAAAGCCCTTGTTTCTTTTTATTCACTCATGGAACATGGGCATCACTGGTTGGGCCAACATTTATTGCCCATCCTAGTTGCCCTCAGAAGGATATGGTGAGCTGCCTTCTTGAACTGCTGAAGTTCACATGCTGTAGGTTGACCCACAATGATCTTAGGGAGGTTATGCTAGGATTTTGACACAGAGACAGTGGAGGTTTGGCAATATATTTCTAAGTCAGGATGATGAGAAGATAGTTTCCCTCGAGAAGGTGGTGTTGAGCTGTGTTCTTGAACTGCTGCAGAGCATATTCTGTAACACAGCAACACTGCTGCTCTTGTCCTTTTAGGTGGAAGTAGTCATGGGTTTGGAAGGTACTGTCTGAGGCACCTTGGTGAATTTCTGCAGTGCATCTTGTACATAGTACACACTGCTGCTACTGAGCATCAGTGTACAGGGAGGAAATGTTTGCAGATGTGGTCCATACAAGCGGGCTGCGTTGTCCTGGATGTATCAAGCTTCTTGAGGATTGTTGGAGCTGTACTCATGTAGCCAAGTGGGGACTGTTCCACCATACACCTGACTTGTGCCTTGTGGATGATGGGCAGACTTTTGGGAGTCTGAAGACAAGTTACTTGCTGCCTTGCGCCTGTCCTGTTTTTGTAGTGACAGTATTTATATGCCTAGTTCAGTTCGGTTCTGCTCAAGGGTAAACCCCACGAGGTTGCTAACAGACAATTCAGCGATAGTAATGCTATTGAACATCAAAGGGCAATCATTAGATTCTGTCTAGATGTAGATGCTCATTGCCTGCTACTTGTGTGGTGCAAATGTTATTTACCCTTGTCAGCCCAAAACTGGATAATGTCCTGTCTTGTTGCATTTGGACATAACTGTTTCAGCATTTTTAGGAGTTGCAAATGGTGCTGAACATTATACAATCATTAGAAAATGTCCTCATTGCTGACCTGATAATGGAGGGAAGGTCATTGATGAAGCAGCTGAAGATGGTTGGGCCCACGACACTACCCTGAGACTCCTGCAGAGATGTCTTGGTGCTGAGATAACTGACCTCCAAAAACCACAACATCTTGCTTTTGTGCCAGGTCTGACTCCAACCCGGAGAGTCTGCCCCTTCATTCCATTGACTTTAGTTTTACTAGGGCTCCTTGATGCCACATTCAGTCAAACGTCAAGGGCAGTCACTCTCGCCCCACCTCTGGAATTTAGTTTGTTTCTCTATGTTTGAACCAAGGCAGTAAGAGGTCATCAAAATGTCTTAAAATGGCCAAAAGTCTTAAAGGTCTTAAAATGGCCATTTTTGCTGCCTCATAACTAGTGGCACTTTCCCTAGGCAAGAGGACATAAACATCCTGAACTTCCCTGAAAAATGTACTTTGCAGTAATAAAGACGAGTGTTGAACTGACCACTTTAACTGCTGTTCTAATGGCTTGAAAGAAATAATCAAAGTTTCTACCTCTGCTTTATCAAACTTTCTCAGTTTCCACCTATAAACGTTTGGCCACCCTTTTTAAAATTTTAAATTGTCTGACTTTTGGGCAAAATGCTAATCACAAGAGGCTCTCTGAATCATTTAACTGTTCGAAGAATGTGCAGTCATCAGATATGGGTATTTCTATACTGTAGCTTTGCAAATTCAAGAAAGCTTTTTGTAATTTCAAAAAAAAAGATTGATCTCAAAGTAACAATTTACCCCCTCTAATCCTTCTGTTTCTTCTCTGGATTCAAATTGCGGAGACGAGCTCCCAGTTTGTTTGGATGTGTTCCCACATGAGGTTGTTCAATTTGTTGTAACTCCGGATGGGATACCCAAAGAGCCTGAGTGAGGAGGGATGAACTTGGTTAGTCACCTGCCCCCTAAGTTGCTCGTAGCCAGGCTCATTTAAAAATTATTCTTAACTTTGTGGATACCTTTCTCCCAGACCAAATGAAGTCATATTTTTTAATAGGAGCCAATTTAACCAGGCATCCTTGAGTTAAAAAAGTCAATGAGTTTACCGGTTGGAAGAAATAAAAAATGCAATATACATACTGACAGAAGATAACACAGTGTAGAGCTGGATGAACACAGCAGGCCAGGCAGCATCAGAGGAGCAGGAAAGCTGACGTTTCGGGTCTGGACCCTTCTTCAGAAATACATACTGACAGATTAGGAATAAGAAGTGAGTCCAAAAAAGTAAAAGTAATAAAAAAAAGTACAAATTATTACCTCAGTCATTCATGAAGAGTAGTAGCAGAACATCTAGAAACCACTTTTGGAGTACTATGTACTGAACTGCTCATTGTATTTAAGGAAGGATGTTAATGCATTGGAAACAGTTTGGAGAAGGTTTCCTAGACTAATACCTGGAATGAGCAGATTACTTTACGATGAAAGGCACAACAGGCTAGGTCTGTATTCTCTGGTGCTGAGAATCAGAGGTGACTTAATCAAAACATATAAGATCCTGAGGAGACTTAACTGGCTGGAAGTTGAGAGCATGTTTCCTCTTGTGGGAGAATTTGGTGCCTGGGGTCTGAATTTCTGTAAATCTCTGGATGGGAAAGCACAAACCTGTCTGCAGGGGATGGCTTCCTGCTGAGAGGGTAATGGGTAGTCAGCCTCTCATTATCTCTTCTGTTTGAAGTTTCCCTGACTCTGTACAGGTGAGCCATTCCATACATTCAAACAGTTCTCTGCCAGACATTCACTGGATTTACATATACAGTCAGATTTTGGTTGTAGCAGTCCTCTTTGAACAAACACATTGGAATTAAAAGCTCAACGTGTCTTGAAGTTCTGATTTGTCGTCATGTCACCGTGCTTTGGATGGGATGATAAGCTTTATATGACTGTTTCAGCAGTTTATGTACATGTTAAGATGCTCAGATACAATTTAATGATGTGGGAGATTTCCCCAAGTCCTCTCACCATCAGAGCTTTTTCATCTTATTATTTTGATATTCATACAATATGTGGATGTCTGCTGCATGTGTCTACATAGTGGTTTGTCTACTTCAGAGTATTACATTTGAAATGCATAGAAATAGTTTTGAAAGTTCTGATCAAGCTCCATATAAGTGAAAGTTTTGTTTGAATCATTACTGTTGCAAGGTGATGTTATCCACACAGTAAATGAACACATTTAGCTCTATGTTTGTTGAGCAAAAATTCATTACTTATTTTTCATACTTGCAGGTTATTTGCATTCATGGAAATAATCCTCAGAAATCAGAACTTCTAAAAACTGACAGCTCTAAGAATTCGCAAAAACACATATGGACAGAAACCAGCAAAGACCTCTCAATCAGCCGTCTGCTTTCACAGACATTATCTGGCAAAGAGAATGCTACTGCTGTGGACCTGCATTATGAAACTCCAGTACCTTACTCTGACCAGGACATATGGGATTGGTTACGAAATGCATCAGATCAGAAGGACCCCCGCCCTCGAATTAAGAGGCGACCTATAGTCAAAACGGGCAAGTTTAAGAAAATGTTTGGCTGGGGGGACTTTCATTCCAACATTAAAACTGTCAAGCTAAATCTACTCATCACAGGCAAAATAGTGGACCATGGAAATGGTACCTTTAGTGTCTATTTCCGTCACAATTCAACTGGCCAGGGGAATGTTTCCGTCAGCCTGGTACCCCCTACAAAAATTGTGGAATTTGACTTGGCTCAACAGACGGTGATTGATGCCAAAGATTCAAAGACATTTAACTGCCGTATTGAGTACGAGAAAGTGGACAAGGCGAAGAAGACTACGCTTTGCAACTATGATCCATCAAAAACCTGTTATCAGGAGCAGACGCAAAGCCATGTGTCATGGTTGTGCTCCAAACCCTTTAAAGTTATATGTATTTATATTTCATTTTACAGTACAGATTATAAACTAGTGCAGAAAGTGTGTCCAGATTACAATTACCACAGTGACACTCCATATTTCCCCTCTGGCTGAGGGTGACCTGATTGGCATCTAAGAAAACGGTTACTGTAATTATGGTATTGTAATGAATTCTATATCTTAGTCTTCATTTGTATGAATGGTTTGTACTGTATATAGTTTATTCAGTGTTATTTGAGCTACCTATGACCATTAACTTGTAACTGTCTCTCTTGCTTGTTTATGGTTTTAAGAACAAATGAAATGAAAAATAGCCTTTTATTTGTGTAGCCGTTATAGCTTACAACAAACTCATGTACAAAAGGAATTATTATAATTAATGTAACTGGTGAAGGAACAATTTAAGAGGTATACATATACCATATTACTCATTGCTGTATTAAAGTATTTTATTTCTGGAAGATATGATATGTAAATAGGAATAAAATACAAAAAGATTTCAGTTTCAAAATGTGCATACCCTTGAATTATGGCACATCAATTATTCTTGAAAATTTCCTTCAAGCTTCACTTCTTTATTTGATGAATATATATGTAAGTACTTTTGGTCCAGGATCTTTATTATGGATGGATCTTGAGACTGAGACAGACTCCTAAACAAATACAAATTTCCACTGAGAACCAATTTTTCTGCCATTTAATGAGATCATGGTTAATCTGATAATTCTCCACTACACTTTCCTTCTGCTTCCCTATGATAGTTGACCCCCTTGCTGACTGAAAACCTGTCTGTCCTAGAAACCAGCAGGAGACTGGCACAACCTTCAGAGAAATGATATAAGCATCTAAAAACAGCCTGCTTTGCTTTTTTGCCAATGTTTCCTACAATCATCCACAAAAAGTTTTGGTGGTAAATTCCTAAGTGAAAGCTAACAGGAATCCTTCTCAGGTTCACTGTAAGCATGCATGGAATCGAGATGACATTTGTGCAGGGCACAGCTGTGAAATTGAGAAACCCAGAAGAAGGGCTTCATTGAATGCCTTCTGAAAGTTAACTGAAGGGCTGTTTTTTTTTCTCTTGGTGGGATTCCAGCCCACAGGTTGACAGTCAGGGAACCCTTCAGATTCACAGAACAGATGCATGCACTCTTATGGAGAGGGAGGGTCAGATGACAGTTCCTACAGACCTGAATGCAATTGAGGGTCTCTCAGTTTTCTGGGGGTCCCACAGTCTTTAGGGGCAGGGGGCATTCCAATATGGTCTCAATGGTGGTTCGGAGTAGGAAGCAGACAACATATATAGAGGGAAGGGGAGGACAGGCTTTTCACTGGTTGCTTGATGGGACTGGAAGAATCACTGTTCTCCTTCCAACTCCCACACAATGTTTTAACAGCACTTAATTCATGAAATTCAGACATCCTTTCATCCTTTAAGCTGTTATGTTTTCTAATAAAGGGTAAGCCAAACACGTGAAGTTAAAAATTGAATAATGATTAAATTAAAGCGTGCAGCCTCACCATAATATTTGAACGAATAACCCATACCCTGTGAGGAGATTGGTTGCCAACCCTTTTCCCCCTCTCCGTCAAAGTTGGAATAAGAAGATTCACAACAGGCTTTAATTCCTGTTCTGATTTTTTGCATTTTAACCCCAACCCACCAATTTTTGGGGAGTTCAGATTCAGTATGAAATGTTCAAATTTAACAATGCTTCTTGTGCTGCAATGTTGATGCCATTTGGTTGGACTCATGTGCCTTTCTGAATTACTGTATGTATCTAGAAACTGCACAGGTTCAGAAAGACAGCTGACCACTGCCTCCTGAAGAGCAGTTAGGGATGGGTAATAAATATTGGCCTAGGCAGCGATGTTCACACCCAGTGAATGAAAAATAATACAGATGCTGTACCCTAGCTATGTCTAACTAATGTTATACCACTCTAGCATAATCTTCCTGCTCTTACATTCAGTGCCACAGTTAATAGGGAAATGTAGGCCCTATTTGTTCTTAACTAACCTTATCTACCTTCTTGTTACCTTTAGCAGTCTTTGGACACGCGCTCAAATGTCCCTCTATTCCCCACCATAATCCTCAAAATTCTACCATTTAATGTGCATTCACTTAATTTGTTGCCCTCCCTACACAAAAAATAGCTCACATTTCTCAGACTGAATTCCATTTGCACATTTCTGCCCATCCAACCAGTCTATTGGTCATTTCCTGCAGTCTAGAGTTTTCTTCCTCAGTTTCAAACAAATGGCTAATTTTTCTATGATTTCTGAACTTCTAAATAATGGCCCCCATGTTCAGGTTTAAATCATTGTAATACCATGAAAAACAAACATTCTAGATCTGACACCTGTGGAAACCTATTGGAAACAGGTTTCCTGTCACATAATCACCCGTCAGCCATGACCCTGTGCATCTTGCCATGGAGTCAATTTTGGACTTAATTTACCCCCTTTCTTGATCCATGTGTCATGTAGGATTAGAGCCACTGACTTTAAAAAAAGGCTTGACTGCAGCCATAATATGCTTGGGTCAGCCTTAACAAGGTAATTGTGGGATATCCACCCCCTCAGGGTTAGGGAAATACTACTGTCAAGAATGACTAGCCAGAATGATTTGCTGAAAGCTGTGTTGCCCCACCAGTGCCAGACTTCAGTAGCAGTCCCATGAAGGAAGCCAGGCCAGGGTGAACTCACTGCTTTGGTCAGGATCAAATGAGGTACCCTGGGGAGTGAGGAGGGGGTGTCAATCTTCGAGCCTGGACGAGGGAGTCAGAAAAGAAGAAGAGCAACATCCTTTGGGGATCCCCATGATGAATATAAGATGCTCACTCAAAGATGTGTACTTAATTATTCCCACAGCAGAGGTAGCAGTCTCGTGACTGTGACATAGCAGCAAGTACAGTAAATACAATTGCATTTCCCCAAAGTCCCACTTTTCATAAAATATAGCATGCATTATTATTTGAAAGACATGCTATGCAAGATTCCAATTCACAAGATTGTATGGAAAATTTTCCTTCACCAGCAAACCAGCGTGTCAAG